AAATCCCAGCACTTGGGAGGCAGAGGAAGGCAGATCTCTGTGAGTTCAAGGCCAACCTGGTCTACATAGTGAGTTCCAGGACAGGGAGACCCTGTCTCAAAAAGACCAAAAAAAAAAACAACAACAGAGGCTGGATATGGTAGATCACATCTATTACAGGGTAAGTTCAATTCTTTTCTGGGGTACACAGCAAGACCCTAACTCCAAAAAAACCCACAAAACTCAGGGCTGGGGAGATGGCTCAGTGGGAAAAGTGCTTCCTGAACAGGGCTTGAAGATCTGCTTGGCTCCCCAGAACCTATGTAAAACTCAGACAGTAGTAGTAGTAGTAGTAGTAGCAGCAGCAGCAGCAGCAGTAGTAGTAGAAATCCCAGCACACCCCTCCCAGGAGATGGGAGGCACACGGGGAAAATCCCTGGAAGCTTGCAGGCCAGCTACCCTGGTATAAGCAACAGTAAATAAGAGTGAACAAGAGACCCTATCTCAATGTGGAGGTGAGGACTAACATCTAAGGTTATTATTCTCTGACCACATGGGCACAAAGATATACAATAAATAAATAGGGCAGAAAGATGGCTCAGCAGAGAGAGGCAATTTCTGCCCAATCTGAAGATCTGAGTTGGATCCCTAAGACCCAAATGGTTAATGGAGAGAACTGACACGTGCAAGTTGTCCTCTGACCTCCATACACACACTTTGGCACATACATGCTGTAGCACATGCACATACTTATGCAAATTTTTAAAAACAAATAAATGTGGGGGCGTGGAGAGATTGCTCAGTGGTTAGAGCACTGGCTGCTCTTGCAGAGGACCTGGGTTTGATCCCAGCACCCACATGGTGACTAACAACCATTGGTATCTCCAGTTCTAGGGGATCCATCACTTTCTCTGGCTTCTTCAGGTTTGCACACACGGTGCACATACATACATGCACATAAAACACTCATACGCATAAAAATAAGTAATTACTTAAAATGCAAAACAGACCAGGCATGGTAGCCCACACCTTTAATCCCAGCACTTGAGATCTCTGTGAGTTCAAGGCCAGCCTGGTCTACATAGTGAGTTCCAGGTCAGCTGGGGCTACAGGGAGTCCCTGTCTCAAAAACACCAAAAAAATTAAATAAAATGAAAAACCAATTTTGACAGGTAAGCTTTTGTTTTTTCAACAATTTAAGATTTATTATTTTATGTGTCTGTAAAACAATTTCAAAGATTTTGACATGTTGGCTAAAAACAACCCAGTGAAAAGTGAAAAAAGTATGTAGCTTTGTCTTTTGATTTGATATAAGAATTTAAAAACAGATTTCAATATTTCCAAGAATGTGCCAGCAAGACAGCTCAGGGGTAAAGGTGCTTCCCAGCAAGCCTGATGACCCAGAACCCCACATGGTAAAAAGAAAGAACTGATTCCCCTATGTTGTCCTCTGACTCTACACCTGTGCTATATTCCACACACTCACAGACACGTATGTGCACACGAAATAAAATTTACTCCTTGGGGCTGGAGAGATGGCTCAGAGGTTAAGAACTGTTCTTGCAGAAGACTCGGGTTCGAATCCCAGCAACCAACTCCAGTCCCAGCGGATCCGACAGCCTCTTCTGACCTCTGTGGGCATTGCACGACATGAGTGCACTTACCTACATGCAGGCAATACATGCATGCCCATAAAAATAAAATAAAAATTTTTTTGAAAATTTAAAAAAATAATTAAATTTACTCCAGAAAAATATACTGGTATATTTGCAACTCCCTTTTCAGTTAACATAAACACGCTGTGTGTCATTTCTTTCCCTGTAGCCCCAGCTGGCCGGAACTCACTATCAGACTGTGAACTCACAGAGATCCACCTGCCTCTGCCTCCCAGGGCTGGGATTAAAGGTGTGCACCACCTCACCCAGCTGCATGTCAATTTTCAGATGAAAAGCACAGTGTTGCAATCTGACATTCAACTTAAAGAAAAATTTGATCATGTCTCCATTTCATGTTTTTTGTGTATGTGCAGGTATGTAGGTATTGGTACACATGCACTTGTGAAAGTGTAGAGGTCAGGTTGATGTTGGATGTCTTCCTCAATTGCTTCCCACCTTATTTTTGAGACAGGATCTCTCACTGAACCAGGAGCTCACTGATTCCAATAGAATGGCTGGCCAGAAAGCCCCAGGGACCCTCCTATCTCCATTTCCCCAGTACTGGAATTATAGGTATGTGCCTGGCTTTCTTTTTAAAAAAAAAAAAATATTTTATTATTTTTATTTTAAGTGTATAAGTGTTTTGCCTCTATGTATGCAAATGTACTTGTGTCATGCAATGCCCCTGATGCCAGAAGAGGGCATCAAAAATAACCTGAAACTGGAGTTATGGTCAGTTATTAGCCACCATGTGTGTGCTGGGAACTGAACTAGGGTCCTCTGCAAGAGCTGCAAGTGCTCTTAGCTGCTGAGCCACCTCTCCAACCCCTGGCTTTTTGATAAATGTGGGTGCTAGGAATCAAATCAGGTCTTTATGCATACAAAGCAAGGTCTTTTCCAATTGAGCATCTCTCTAAGACCTTGATCATGTCTCTTTACTGGATGTCTACAGGTCCTATCTTCCCAGAAACAAATATTCCTCATTTCAAAATCCATGCTATCACATTTTGGCAGTACCTACATTTATGACCAACTATTTTCTTCTTCTTTAAAAAAAAAAAAAAAAAAAAAAAACCCAAAACATTTTGAGTCAGGCATGGTGGCATTTGCCTTTAATCCCAGCACTTGGGACGCAGAGGCAGAGGCAGGTGGATCTCTGTGAGATCGAGGCCAGCCTGGTCTCCATAGCACGTTCCAGGACAGCTGTGGCTACAGGGAGACTGTCACAAAAAGACCAAAAGACCAAAAACAAAAAAACCTCCCCAAAGCACTGTATTTTGTGTGTATGTATGTGTGCCTGTGTGTGTGTGTGTGTGTGTGTGTATGTCTGGCATCTTCCTCAGTCACTCTCCCTCCTATATGTTGAGACAGGCAGGGTCTCTAACTTGAACCTACTGATTCCACTGGTCTATACAGCTGGCTCCAGGGATCTTGGCTTGGCTTCTTGTGTGCTGGGATTACAGATGGGTTGTCATGCCTGCCTGATATTTACATGGTGTTGGAAATCCAAGCTACAGGCCTCAATACTTGTAGAGCAAGTACTTTTACTCACTGAGCCCGCTCCCTTGCCCCTTATTTTATTTTTTAACCATCAAGCAAAGTAACAGGTTTCATTATGGCATTTCCATACATACTTAGTTTTGGTTGGCCTTTCCTCCATCCCTCCCCCAGGAAATTGGCAGATTACTATTTTCAAGAATGAAATAAACTAAGAATAAAATGAGAACCAAAGCACCTGGTGAGCACCTTGAGAACTCATTGAGAACTGCAACTACATGGGGCTGGTGAGATGGCTCAGTAAGAAAAGGAGCTTTCAGCCAAACCTGATGACTTGAGTTCAATGCCCAGAACGCACATGAAAGGAGAGAACTGACTCCTATAAACTGTCCTCTTGACTTCCATATTCCCCCCACACAATAAATGTAAAAACCAGAGGATTGCAACTACCATCAAACCAGACATTCATATATTAGTTTCTCAATTACAATGTGAAATACAATGTACAATGTTAAATCCCACTAGTTTTATGTTGTCCTCTTTTATAATAAAAATTTTTTTTTAAATAAGCTCGTTTTTCTTATTAGGGATCATAAACTTGGGACTTACTTGACAATTTTAGAAAGACTCTCTAAACCAGGTGCCACATAATTAGATTATGTGAGGACATTAATTTTTTTAGATGTTTACCTACGTAGTGAATATCATGAAAATTATATACAGATCTTTTTTTTTTTGGCTCATCAGCTCTCATTAATGGTTGTATAGTAAGTGACCCCTGAAAATTCTTCATCCAATGTGGCCCCAAAAGGCTGTACAGTATCAAAGGTTGTATGTACATCCCGTGTTAAAGGCTTAGTTCCCAGTGTGGCACAATCCAGAGTAGCAGAACCTTCAAAGGTGGGGCCTAGGAGGAAGTTTCAGGTCACTGAGGGCATGCTTTCAAAGGAAATTACCAGAACTTATGCTTCCTCTTTCATTTCTCAGTGGCCAAGAGGTAAACCACTCTGTGTCACTATGCACTCCCAGCAACAAAGTCACTTTATCAAGTAAAATCTCCAAAACTGTGAGTCAAAACAAACTTTTCCTCCTATTAAGTTGACTTATCTCGGGTATTTGCTACAGTAATAGAAAGATAACTTATACACAAAACTATGAACCAAAAGATTTAAGAACAATGTGGGGATATGTGGCTGTAGAGGTGCCTTAGTGGCTGAGTGATTGCTGCACAATCATGAAGACAAGTTCAGATCCAAGAACCCACATAAGTCAGGCATGGTCTTGTGTACACCTTTAATTCCAGGTATAACACACAATTTTCTCACATTGTCATACCATTATCAAGATTTCTACCCTTGTTTGTTTTTAAGATAGTGTTTCAAGTATCCCAGGTCACTATGCAGCCAAGAATGACCTTGAATTGATCCCTCCACTTCCCAAGTGCTGGGATCACAGACATGGCTCTACCACACCTAGTTTATGTGGTACTGGAGATCAAACCCAGAGCTTCAGGCATGCTAGGCAAACACTGTAACAACTAAGCTACAGTCCTAGTCCAAGTTTTGATATTCTGGTTATTTGGTCCTATGAAATGTCTATGTAACACTCATGTCTTTTGAGCCAGGCATGGTGGCACACACCTTTGATCCCGGCAATAAAGAGACAGGGGCAGAAGGATATCTGAGTTTGAGGCCAGCTTGGTCTAGTAAGTTTCAGGGCAGCATGGGCTACATACATAGTGAAACCCAGCCTTAAAAACAAAAACAAACATTCAGGTCTTCTATTGATCCAGCCAGTGTCCTATTGCATTATGTCCATCCAGACCACACTGAAATGACTTATATTAATAATTTTTCATGTGTTACCTACCTTACTCTTCCATTCAGATTTATCTGAACATGCTGCTTAAAATCTGGATATTTGGATGCGAGATATGCGAAATCGGGCGGTTTGTCCTTGTATCTATTTCTTGCATGCATTGATTTGCTTAGGGCCATCTTTAAAGAGAGGGGGAAAAGAGGGGATGTGATATAGAGAGATACATACACAAAATCAGTTTGTTTCAAAAGCATTGGTGGGGCCAGGATAAGATACATGCCTATAATCCCAGCACTTTGGAGGCAGTCAGGGTGATCATCTTTGAGACCAGCCTGAGCTATATAATGAGTTTTAGGCCAGCCTGGGCTACAGTGAGACTCTGTCTCAAAACAACAAACAGTAATAACATGGTAAGTGGTATTCTTGTTACAGCCCAACCTGCTGCCACTTGCAGTACACTCAATAAACTTTTTTTTTTTTTTTCCTTAAGAGAAGATAGCTTATCAGTAGAACACTTGCCAAACATGCACAAGGCCTTAGGGTCAATCTCCAGTATCACCAAAAAACAAACTCACTATACATCAATTTAAATTTTCTAACATTTCAATTTCCCCTACAGACAGTGGAGAAGAGCACAAATGCTCCAGGCACCATAAGAAACATCAAAAAGGAAAATGGTTTCCTTCCTTGTCATTCTCGAGAGCAACAAAAAAGAAAGGCACTTATTCTAAACATTTCAAGAGACACTGGCATATTAGGACTCTGCCACATATTAAAGACACTAAAGAGCATACAGTTGACAGTGCTCTAAACATATGTGACACAAGTTAAATTACAGTCTTGGCAAATTCAGTTCATTTACTACATTACTTATTCTGGCCAGAAGGGATGCTGTCTATAAAGTCATTTCTTGTTAACTTTAAAATTTTTTTCACTAGGAATTTAACTCAGAGCCTCACACAATGCTCTGCAATGAGGTGCTATACTCCAAATTAGCTAAATTCTGGATTTTTTTTCCCACTAAATATATACTGTTCCTCCAGGTTAAAACCTTACCTGGCACCAGAATGGTCATTCCTCACTCTAGACACAGCTTATTCTGCCATAGGCCACTTGGCTGGTTTTTTGTTGTTTTGAGACAAGGTCTCACTACAGCCCTGGTTGGTCAGGAACTCAATATGCAGACCTGGCCTTCAAGTTCACAGAGACCTCTGCCCTGCCTCTTCCTCCCTAGTGCTGGGATAAAGGCAGGCAACACCACACCGGGCCTCTGTTCTTTCTTGATCAAGTACAGCACATTTATGTCTTAGGGCTTTTTGCTCTTTTCTGTTATATTTGGACAAGGTCTCAGGTAGCTTACACTGGCCTGGAACTATGTACCCAAGGGTAGCCTGGACTCCCTTATTCTTCTACCTTGGCCTCCCAAGTGCTGTGATTACATGTGTGAACCATCACACTAGACTTGCACTTGCTGCTGTTCATCTGCATGGATTGCTCTCCCCACTGACATGTATATACACCAAAGGGACCCTCATCTTGTTGAGGTCTTTGGTCAATGTCATCTCCTAAGCAACTCACTAAAAACCCAGTGACAGCCGGGCATGGTGGCACACACCTTCAATCCCTGCACTTGGGAAGTAGAGGCAGGTGGATCTCTGTGCGTTCAAGGCCAGCCTGGTCTACAAAGTGAATTCCAGACCAGCTGGGGCTACAGGGAGACCCTGTCTCAAAAAGACCAAAAAAACAAAACAAAACAAAAAAAAACAGTGACTAGAACACACTCCTCCCCCTTCCTAACTCCTGTCTATTGAATTTACTCATCTGACACTTGATATATTTTTGCTTAATTTTAAAAACCTTCCCTACCAATAAACTTCGTGAGGATATATATGTTCTCTGAGATACCACAACACCCCAAACAGGAGGTAGGCACTCAACTGCTGACTGAACGCCTTATAGCGTGGCCAGATGTAGCTCAGAGTGGTAGAGCATTTGCCTAGCATGTGCAAGGCCCTGGGTTCAATCACTGGCACCAAAGAGGGGAGGTGGGTGTGCAGTAGGAAATACTTTCCACTGTAGAAGTCACTGAAATACAGCGCTCTCCTTCTGAATCGGCAGTCCTCACCTGAGTTTAAAAACAAAAATAAACTTGGCTGAGTCAATCAGAAAACTAAAGTAACGATCTTGAGGCCGATCTTCTTTCATCTTTAACTCTCAAGTACCATTTCTTCTAATACATAACGCTATGGAATAATCTAAATTTTGCCTTTTAAACACCAAACTCAACAGTCAGACCCCTCCCACCTCGACCCCGACCCCCGTTTTCCCTCTACGCCTTCCCTCATAAACCCCATTTTTCCCTCTAGTCCTCCATTCGGGTTCCCGGATCTCCCACCCTTCCACGCTTTCCCCCTTCCACCGCTCGTCTTCCCGCCTCGGGTTCAGCTCGCTCTAAACACCAGCCAAAGAGCGGGCTCGCCTACCCTCCTCGAACTCCTCCCCCCGCGCCCCCCGCTCCTCCCGCGCCCCCTCAAGAGCCGAGAACAGGGGAATGCGGGCGCCCACGGCCCGCGACCACACCCGCAAACAGAGAACGAACGCCCCACCTCGAAGGCCGGCGTTCCTGCCCCGCGACGCGGGTGGCTTGGGCCTGCACAGTCCTAGACTCCTAACCCGCTCAAACCCCGAAGTGCCTAGAAACGCAAGTGCTACGCTCGCAGCGCGACGCCATCTTGTGAAGCCATCCGGCCTCGTAATTGGACACGCTACTCTCGCGAGACCTTGGCGTTCGGGAGTAGGCGGGTGTTGCGTTTTCGCCCGGAGGTGGGGGCGTGGCAACGAGCGGGGCTCTTGGTTACTTAGTGTGCCATTTTACTTAGGAAATTTTTTGTTGGTTCGTTGTTCGCTTGGCTTTGCTTGAGCCAGGCAGGGTCTTACTGTAGCCCAGGCTGACCTGCAAGTATGTCATCCGGAATGGCCTCTAACTTGGAGCAGTCCTCCTACCTTGGTTTTCCTGAATCCGTGCTAGGATTACAGGTGTGAAAGATCACACCAGGCAGGAAGCTTTATTTTCTTTTTTTAAAGTAGCTTTCTGGGGGCTGGAGAGATGGCTTAGTAGTTAAGAGCCCTAACTGCTCTTAAAAACGACCTGGGTTCGATTCCCAGCACCCACATGGCGGCTATGAACCATCCTTAACTCCAGTTCCAGGGGAATCCAAAGCCCTCTCTGACCTCAGTGGCATTGCACGACACGGGTACACTCACATACATGCAGGCAACACATTCATACACATAAATAATAAAATATTAAAATAAAAAGTAGCTTTCTGGGGCTTGGGAGATGGCTCAGCTGCTTTTCCAGAGGATCTTAGTTTGGTTCCCAGCATCCGCATCAGGGCCTGTCTTCTGGGCCGGCAGACAACTGTGCACATGTGGTAGCCACAAGACATACACACATACACATAATAAAAATAAAAATTAAAAAAATAGCTTAACTTTCTGCAGGCAGCCCCAGGCTTACTAAATCATACTAGGCTTGGGCAGGGACAATTAACACTTAAATAGGTCTCTGTGTGATGCTACGTTTAATAATCACAGATAAACATTTGAGATGGGGAAAAAATAACGGACTTAGAAACTGCTTCTGCTAAAAAGAATATTGACTCCACTTGGGCTCACGAAGTAACTAAAAGCAGGATAAATTCTAACATCTTGCCTTCGTTTTGTATCTCTCCATTAGGCATGTTACTGTCAACTTTTTACAAAGTTCTGTTGCAGAGTGCCTAAGGGGTTCTCCAGTCATCTTAAAACTTCAGTCACCTTATATCCAGGAACAGGACTGATGAATATCTTTATGAAGCAATGCTGAGCCTCAGAGAACAGGACTCCTTCCCATGGTTTAACGAATCCCCACAATGAGGGCAATTACCTGTGTAGATTCCTTATAGCAGGAATAATTATCAAGGGCACCACATTGCTTCCCTCAAATAAGGACTTTTCAGCTACCCTGCAGAACCAAATTGAGATCGTGATCAACTAGACCACTCTGACCACAACTACTTAGTGTAACTCCCTTGGTTGCTCCTCCCTCAATTCTTCCTCTATTTAAACCTTCCTCTTTAAACCTTTGGTGTGGTGTCTTAAGCCTGTAATCCTAGCATTTAGGAAGTAGACGCAGGAGGATAAGTGGAAGATGTTCATCCTCCATTGCATAGCAAGTTTGAGACCAGCCTAGTCTACATGACACCCTCTCTGAAAAAGTCAAAATAAAACATTATACCAGTAGCTCAGTGGTAAAGTGCAAAGCCCTGAGCTCCCTAACACCACACACACCCAAACTTTCATAATGATAAAACAGGCTGGTGAGATGGCTCATCAGTTAAGAATGCTTGATGCACAATCATAAGGACCAGAATTTGGATCCTAGCATTCATGTAACAAGCCAGGCATCTGTGAATACCTGTAACTCCAGATCTGAGGGGCTTGGAGACACGATCACTGGGGCTTGCCCGTTTCCAGCCTAATCAAGAAAATGTGAATGCTACATTCAGGAAGACACACACACACACACACACACACACACACACACACACACACACACAAACCATGCCTGGCTATGTTTTCTTCTTCTTCTTCTTTTTTTTTTTTTTTTTGGTGTTTTTGAGACAGGGTCTCCCTGTGGAACTCACTCACTATGTAGACCAGTCTGGCCTCGAACTCACAGAAATCTGCTTGCCTCTGCCTCCTAAGTGCAGGGATTAAAGGTGTGCACCACCACGCCCAGCCATGTTTTGCTTCTTAAATTTGTTTTGTTAGTGTGTGTATGTGTGATGGGTATGTGAGTGTGGCCATGTGCTTGCCATGCCATGCATGTGGAGGTCAGAGGACAACTCTCTCCTATTACCATGAGATCCAGGGATCAAACTCAGTATTGTACAGTAAGAAGCTTTACCCACTGAGTCATCTCACCAGGCCTCCTCCCCATCTTGTTTTTGAGACAGGGTCGCTCATTGAGACCTGGGGCTCACTGATTAGGGTAGGATTGGTGGCCCTCAAGCCCCAAGGATCAGCCTCTTTCCACCCCCCCCTCCCCCGCCAGGACTGGGATTGTAAACCATGTACCACAATGGCGCTTTAAAAAATTATTTATTTACTTTGTATTGTGTGCAGGTGGAGTGGAGAGGCAACTGACATATGTGCCACAGCATGTGTGTGGAGGTCAGAGGAAAACTTGAGGAAGCCAGTTTTCTCCTTCCACTACATGGGTCCAGGGAGTGGACTCTGGACTCAAGGCTTAGCAGCAAGTGTCTTTACCTGCTGAACCATCTGGCCAGCCTTGACCCACTGGGGATGGAATTCAAGTCCTCATGCTTGTATTTTGCTGATTAAGCTATCTCCCCAGCTAATTGATAGATTTCTTAAAAATTACACTCATTTATTTTGAGTATGTGGGTATAAGCATGGTAAGGTGTACATGTGGGGGTCAAATGAAAACCGTGGGAGTCAGATCTCTCCTTCCATTATGTGGGCCCCAGAGATTCAACTCAAGTAGTCAGAGTTGGTAGTGGGAAGCATCTTTACCCACTGAGCCATCATGCCAACCCTGATTTATTATTTGTTTCTTAGATGGTCTCGTGTAACCTAGGCTGGCCTTGAACTGGCTATGTACCTGAGTCTAGTCTTGAATTCCTGATCCTTTTGCCTTCACCTCCAAAGTTCTGCAATAGCATGTATGCCTGGTACAAACAGTTTATGTAATACTGAAAGATATAAGGAAAAATTATCCAGCATCTCACCACCTATAGCCAGATATGTCCAAATTCAATACCATTCTAAATTATACTTATTAATTTGTTTACGTATTTACTTATTTTTAGATAACATTCTAAATTATACTTATTCATTTGTTTATGTATTTACTTATTTATGTGTGTGTATGAATGGGTGGGTGAGTCTGGGCATGCCATGGTGTGAGCGTTTTATGGTTCTCTCCACCATGTGTGCCCCAGGGATTTGAACTCAGGTTGGCAGGCTGGGGATGTAGACCTGCTTACTGGGCACAAAATCCTGGCTTTGATTCCAAGCACCATACACATTGGGTATGGTGACATACCTGTAACCCCAGAACTAGGGAGATGAATGCAAGAGGATCAAAAATTCAAGATCATTCTTAGCTGTATTGTGAATGTGAGGCAAGTCTGGACTATATGAGACTCTCTCAAAACAAAATCAAAAATTAATTTTGCTAAAATACATGCTATCCTCCAGAAATGTCCAAAAACTGAGTGTTTGGGAAATACAATATCAGATGTGTCTCTATGTACATGGATACATATTGAAATCATGTTTCCTCATAATTTTGAAGACCAGCTTCACAGGATTCTAATAGTCAGTGCCTGCGGTAGAAGTTCCCATACATCTCATTTTTTGTTTTTGACCTGCTACTACATGCATCCTTCTGCACCATGTCTTCCCTACCATGATAGGCTGAATCTTCTGGAGTTGTAAATCAAAATAAATCCTCCCTTCCTTCCTTAAGGGCCCTGGGTTCAATCTCCAGAACCACACAAATGGAGAGAGATGGCACACGCCTATAATTCGGGCACTTAGGAGGATCAGAAGTTCAAAGTCATCTTTGGCCACATCGTGAAGACATATATGACCCTGTCTCAAAAAAAATAAAAATAAAATTTTAGGGCCAGTGGGAAGGCTTAGCAGGTAAAGATGCTGCACAAGCCTGGTGATCTGAGTTCACTGCCTGGAATCCACATTAAGGGTAGAAGGAGGGAATTGACTCAAGTTGTCCCTTGCCCACTACACAACCCCTG